ATTATTCAGAGGTGGTATTCAGCCGGTTCTGACAGGTTCTGGAGAACCGGTAGCAGAAATTTTGAGTAGTTCGGAGAACCAGCAAATAGGCTGGCCCTGCCCCTGCTGCCTCCCAGCTGATCCTCTTTTGTTAACCTGAACAGGAGAACGGAGCTGGAAAGCAGGTTAGTCAAGTGGGGAGGAAATGAGTATTTTGCAGTATCAATGCCTACAAAGCCACACCCACAAAGCCATGCCATGCCCACAAAGCCACGCCCACAGAACTGGTAGTAAAAAAAATTGAATCCCACCACTGGGATTATTTATAAAGACTTACAATAAATTACATACAGGTGACCCTCAACCAGCGATGGCAATTGAGACTGGAATTGCCATCACTAAGCAATGTAATTGTAAATGTCATAATAGAACTGTGTTACTTAATTATGGCAGTTCCAGTTGCTGTCATGAAGTGATGATCATGCTGGTCATTAAGTGAGCACTTCACATGACTGTCACTGCACCATGGCCTTACTTGTCAGGAAGCTGGCAGAGGATATCGGAATTCGCAATCCTATGAGCTGGAGGTTGCAACCATCAGAACTCTGAGGACTGGTCATAAGTCCCCCTTGTTCAGAGCCATTGCAAGTTTGAACAGTCACTGAACGAGTAGTTATAAACATGAGGACTGTTTATAATGAAACTAAAAATTATGCACTTTGAATCTTAGTTATATTAAATATTGGAATGTAAATAATTACAAACTAAGAAAAAAGGTCTTTAAAATACTTAATTTTAATTGGATTCTGCTGCATTTCCATTGCATCAGTTCTGATAATGGGCAATTCATGTGGCATTTTATGATGAGTATCTGCTTTAGATTTATTATTTTACACTGCAGGCAGCTCAATAACCTTAAACATATTCTTTTCTTTTCTTTCACTTGATTTATTTTCTGATGAGCTGAACTTCAGGTATTGTGTGTCACGCTTGCCAAGTAATTTCAGCCATATGGAATTTCTATTTGACTTTGTAATTCTGTATGTAAATGCAATCGTTTTCAGTTTATCTGGTTATTTTTGTTTCTGTTTTTATATCTGCTATATTCCTGTAACATTATCATGACTGGCTTTGAGCCAAGAAAACCAGCGATCAAATATCTTGTTTAAAATGTCTAACTGAACAGTCTACATTACAACTTCTGAGTTAGTCTCTCTCTTCCAAACAAAATAAAGATTCCAATAATTGCAGCCAATTGAGAATCTCCAACATTTAAAGAGCAGCATGTCACATGACACCATAGGGGAAATGAAAATAGAATGTTTCTTTTTTCAAAGACCTGAATGGCAAAAAGGACACCCTGAGATCCAGATGTTCTTACTCCCTCTCTCTCCCTCTCTCTCTCTCTCTCTCTCTCTCTCTCTCTCTCTCTTATTGGGGATATGAACACTACAAGCCATTTGCAGAAGTAAAAG